ATAAAATCAGAAAAGAGATGAAAACCCTGAAAAAATCTCACTTGAGAGATCTTTGAGTTACTAAAAGAAAAGAATTGTAAGATCAAATGAATTTTTTTCGTTAAAATATGAAGCAGATGGAAGCTTGAAAAGGTAAAAAAGCAAGATTAGTAGCCAAAAGATATACTCAATACTATGAAATTGATTATCAAGAAATTTTTGCTCTTATTATAAAAATAATTACAATTTGTCTTCTAATTCTAATTTCTCTAGCTATTGGAGATGGTTCATGCAATACTATTGATGTGAATCAAAATGCGATAACCAAGAATTGCAATTAAGAGATTAATAAAGGTAGTAAACTTTGCGTTGCTTCCAAAAACTCTTGTTTGCTCAAATGAAAGTTCAAGCAGATAACATGAGAGATTAAGCGATAGCAATAGGTTACACTTTGAGATTATTAGAACTTGCCAAAATAACAACCAACGATTACTAGGTGATGCAAATAACAAATATAACAAAACCTCAAGTTTAAAACCTAGATCCTTCACTCAAATCTTGGAATTGGAGGCTAGCAGAGGAGGATTGCAAGCACGCTTAAAGATGCCACTATCACACAAGTGATTCCGAGAGGACTAGTGGCCGGGGAAGAAGCCGGATTTGGGGAAGATGGTGGACACCCGTTGATGATCCAATCGTCTGCCGGAAGTTGCTCGTCGTTGACGTCCACGAGGGTGGGAAGAATACGGTTCAAGTAATCCTCGACGGTGTGGTCGAAGCCGAACCCAACGTCAAAGAATGGCGAACGGACGACGTCGATGTCTCCTTGAAAGTCATTTGCAAATCCGTGATCACGCTCCGGATCTGCCATGCATTCTTGCCGGGAGGGGAAGGAGCACCGATGGAAAGAAGAGGTAGAGGAGTTGGCGGTTGGAGGGGGAAATTAGGTTTGAAAGAGCTTGGGTTAAGTTAGGGTGGAGGTGTTCTATTCTCAAAATATGAAAATAATTTCAGGTTTTGAGTAAAAATGGAGGGAATTAATTTGAAATTTGGATTTCAGTTAATTGCAATTAAGGACCTTGAATGAGCATTAATTGAGGGGGGCAAGCATGGGGTCGGCTGCATGGAGAGAGAGGGAGAGGGGTTTTATGCCAAACCTGAAATTAATTTCAGGATTTCAAAGTTGTCATGAGCATACTTGTTTGAAATTTCAAATTAATTCATTAATGGCTAGGGGTGTTAATTGAGGAGATAATTAGGGGCTGATTTGGTGGAGTTTTGAATTTAAATTGTGAGAGAAAAGGCCAAAGAGGGGGCCGACCAAATAAAAGAAAGAGGGAGGGGAATAGGTGTTAATTAGGTGGGGCCCACACACTAATCAAAGATTTGAGGAAAATCTGAAATAAATTTCAGATTTTTTTTTTTATGAATGGGAAGTTTCCAAATTTAAGGCAATTAATTGGAATCTATTTGAATTTCAAATTTGATTTGAAATTCAATTATGAAGATTGCCTAAAATCATGGAGTTATTTAAGGAAAGTTATCAATGCCCTTGGAAAATTTGAATTTCAAATTTGTGATCCCAAGAGGGGCCGGCGGTTAGAGAGGTAGAGAGGGGAGGATGGGGGAGGGGAGGCCGACAATTGGGTGGTTGGCGGATGGGGGCCGACGGCTTGGGTGGCCCAAGGAGGCCGGCAGCAAGGGGATTTTTGGGAGGGGAAAATAAAAGCTCGGAGAAAGAGAAAGTCTTGAAAAAAAAATCAAGGAAACTACTAACCTCAAGTATCTCTTCCTCAAGAACTCACAAAGAGATTTTGGGAATCTCGGAACTCACGAAGAGATCCTTCTCCTCTCATGAACTCACTAAGAGATCAAATAAAGAAAACAAAATTTCATTCAATATTCATCTTCTCATACAATGCATGAGAAATAGGCCAAAATGAAATAAAAACTAAAAGACATAAATGCCCTTGGGGCTACAATATCAAATGACTATCCATAAGGGTAAAACAGTAAAAATTGAAAAATAAAATAAACTACTACATAAAATGACTCAAAATATAAACTCCTGATCGTGGCCGTCGATCTCCGGTGTCTCCGATGGTACACGTGTCGAAATCACTAACGATGTCCTCATCAACTATGATGCAAAAAATGCTTTTTTTACATGAGAAAATTGAAGAAGTTTATATAGATTCTCCGCCAAAATTTGATATCTCTTTTGCATAAAATAAGATATGCAAATTGACAAGGCACTATATAGTATTAAACAATCCCAAAGAGTATGGTTTAACATATTTATAAAAGCCATGCATATAATAGAATATAAACAAAGGAGATCTTAAACTTCATAAAACACTTTATAGATGAAAATATTTCAATTCTTATCTTAAATGTTGATCATATAATTGTTATAGATTATGATAATGAAGAAAATGAATTGCTCAAAAAAATTGTTGAAGAATTTGAAATTAAAAAGCTTGGCAAGCTCAAATATTTTTGGAGTCTAGAGTTGCTCAATTAGAATGAATAATATTCATATCTCAATAAAAAATATTTTATGGATCTATTGAGGGAAATAAAAATGACTTATTCCAAGCTTCGTGAAACTTTAACTGAACCAGGGGAAATACTTGACACAAATGACGGAACAAAGGTGGATATTGGACAATATCAAAGGCTAGTTGGGAAACTAGTTATCAATTTTACACTTGTCCTAATGTGAAGTCTCATAAATGAATTTGTGCACAAACTAAAAGAATCTCACCTTTAAGTTGCTTATAGAGTTCTCAGGTACCTAAAATTAAATCCCAGAAAAGGACTCTCTCTTACAAATTAAAGGATATATTATTGCTGATTATGCAAAATGGTAAGTGGATGGAAAATCTACAAAGGGTACTGTAAACTTCAGGGAGAATCTCATAACACGAAGAAGGAAGAAACAAATTGTGTTATCCAGAGATTGAGCTTGCAATTTGAATTCATTACAATTTCTCAAGGTATTTGTGAACTTCTGTGGATTAAAATTATCTTAGAAAATTTAAAAATCAAATATGAAGAGCCTATGAATATATATTTTGACAATATATCCTCCATCAGCATTGCTCATAGTATAATATAACATGATTGAAACAAGCATGTATAAGCGGCTAGACATTTCATAAAAGGGAAATTATAGAGTAGATTAATTTGTACTTCCTATATTCCAACAGGAAGTTAATTTGCCGACATATTTACTGGAGGGCTTTGCAATATTGTATTTAAAAATATTGTAAGCAAATTTAGAATAATAGATCTATATCATCCAATTTTAGAGGGAGTGTTGAAAGATTGATGGGACCAATGGTTAGGTCCATAATTGAGGGGTTAGCGAGATTGATAAAGCAAGAAAAGGAAAGAGGAAGCCACATATCTATAAGGTCGCATTGACTAAATAAGGAAATAGATGTGTCACAGATCCAAGTGCAAGAAAGGAAAATAGAGAGCCTCTGATTGCTCCCTTGGCATAAAACTTAAAGCAAAAGGAGGGGATAGATAATAAATCTTGTATTTTTTTAATTTAATGTAATTAAAGATTATATTATTTTCGTTTATTCTTTAGATCTAGGTAACTTTATGTATAAATACCCATTGAAAAAAAAAATAATCCCAGCTTTCCTAGTCACTTTTTTTTTACAATATGTTGAAGATATTATCGTGATAAATAGTGACCTGAAAGGAATAAAAAAATCAAATAAAATGGTCTAAGAATTTATATTCAAAGAGTTAGGCAAGCTAAAGTATTTTCTTGGCATTAAATTTGCACACTCTTGATATGAAATCATCATATCAATAAAAATATATAACATACATGTTGAAAGGAACCGGTAAGTTAAGATGTAAATCTATTGAGAGTCTTAAAAAATTTAATCATAAATGTAGAGTCGTAGAGATGTTTTAAAAGACAACAATAAAAAAAGCTTTTTATAAGAGATTAGTGGGAGGATTTATTATTTATCACATATTAGACCTAACATTGCTTAAATTATTGATATTGGCGAGTCAATTTATGCACAATACTAAAGAATCTATATATTTATGCAATATTTGAAGGAAACCTCAGGCAAAGGAATTCTATTTAAGAAGGGGGACGATCTGACTCTTGAAGCATACACATATGTAGATTATGTGGTTTTATGATTGACATGAGGTCAACTTCAAGATATTACACATTCATATAAGGCAACCTAGTGAATTGGAGATGTAAAAAATAAAATTTGGAGCATGATCTAGTATATAAGTAGAATTTAAGTCAATGACATTGGGAATCTTTGAATTGTTATAGTACAAATTATCTTGAAAGATTTAAAGGTTGATGGAAAGATTCTATAAGGCTATATTGTGATATCAAGTCAGCCATCTATCTTGCATATAATTAATTCCATTCACTAGGAAAGGGTATTGAAGTTGATAGATATTTTGTAAAGGAGAAGCTTACCTTATTTGTAACCATATATACACAACTTCCTAGCATTCTCACCAAAGGATTATCAAAGGTAGTCTTTCAAAAATTATCAAACAAGCTTGAAAAGAGATGACATTTGTTCGTTTGTGTGAGGGATATGGTGAAATTTCTACCAGTTGAGACCCAACACTCATCAAGACTTCTGCCCTCGTTTCTTTCTCTTCCGTTGCCAGTTCATTGATCTGTAGGATCCATACTTCTACTTCCCAATTCGCGTATTATTATAATTATTATTCAACCTATTTATCTATCTATAGACTATTATAATTATTTTGCAGTTATTATTCTATGATTTTGCATGTTTCTTATTAGAATTTTTTTTAGATTGTATAAATACCACACAAATATTGAAATAAAATACTCGTCATGATTTTATTACTTAAGTGCCTGCTTAAGCGTAACAGGCCCGAGGTTATCCTGTGGAGCTTTACTTCATCTAAATAGGGGCTACGATGCCTCAAAATGTCATTTTGTGGATTATATCTTCATTTTTATTATGTAGATAGTTTAAATGCAGTAAGTTTTACTTTTGTTGCTCCTATGGGTTTGGAATCATCTTCACCTATTCACTGTAAGTTGGTCATCCATTCAACAGATTACTGCACGAAATGTAGTTGAAATAGATGATCAGACTATGTTATTTTTTTGAGCCAGATTTCAAGTACTGAGAGGACTACTGCCAAATAGTGAACAGAAAAGAGATAAAGCATCGTTTCTTCTTGAGGTATTTTTTTTTTCATTCAGGATGGCTAGCGTTGGATAAATTTCTTATTAGTATTTTAAGAATTAAAATTACTTTGCAGGTCATTGAATATATCCGGTTCTTGCATGAGAAGGTACAAAAGTACGAGTCAATTTACCCTGGATGGATTGATGAAAATACCAAATTGTTGGCCTGGGTAATTTTTGAACCATCCCAACACCCAAACGTTCTCTCCCTTCCTCTTCTGTCTGTTTTTTGAAGACTTGTATGTTGCTCAGATTGCGTGATCTTTAACATATGTTGCAGAAGAAAAAAATAAGAGGGCATATTATATGTTTGTACTTGCATGTATCATAATCTCTTTTCCACTTCTTGGAAGCCGTGCGTCATTTTACCAACCTGCAACCATCTCAAGCACGCCTGCATGTTTTAATAACCTTCAACTTTAGGAATTTGAAATCCTCATTATATATGCTTTGATTTTTGAATTGGCATGCATCTAAATGTTGACTAATGAATTCTTAAATCATTGCTTTATATATATATATATATATATATTCATCATAGTTCTATTTTTTTAAGAGAGAACCATCATAATGGTCCATTGACTTTTTACGAAGGGTTGAAATGATCATTGATTATTTAAAATTTTCATTTTAGTTGTTTGACTTTTTAAATAGGGATCTAAATTATGTCACAGGACTAATTTGGTCTCTATTTAAAGAGTTAAGGGACCAAATTGATACTTTTATACAGTTGGGGATTATTTTGGTCCTTTAAAAAAGATTAGGGGACAGATACAATCATTTTCTCATTTTTATAATAAGTTGTAGGCTTTGAACTTAGTTTTTTGTTTCTTTTTCTTGTTTATTAATAACATTTAAATTTATCCGTTTGTAATTTTCTGTTTATTCATTTCCACAATTTTGGAGCTGTTAAGGTGCTCTGAAAGTTTTGGGTATCATTGTCCTTTTTCATGGAAAGTTTTAGTACTTCTACTCCTGGTTTTAGGTAGGTCAGTCTATGTGAGATTGGATAAGTTATTGGCATCTGTTATTTTAAGTTCGCAAAAGGAATTATGCTAATCATGCATCTGAATGCATGTTTGCTGCTCTGCTATGCATGCTTAATTCTTGCTTGACCTGTTAAATTATCTACATTTATTTATGTGGGACAGAACAATCACCAAGATTCTGGTGATAACATAGGTGATGCATCAATCATCAAGAATGGCTCTGCTCCTGGATTTGTCTTATCTGGTAATGGAATTCCCGTTGCACCAGCAATGCTATCCGCTTCACTAAATCCATTAGAGCCCGACTTAATTGCTTGTTTCTCTTTCAAGTCCTTGAAAGATCCCTCTGGTTTCACAAATAAGACTGACCAAATGCTGATTACAGAAGCTGACAACTTGGCTTCCCATTTTCAATGGATGAGAGCATCAAACCCGGGAGATTGTGCCATTAGCAATGACATGCTAGATGAACTAACAATTGATGAAGGAACAATTAGCGTGTCCTGTGCATATTCTCAAGGGTATGTGCTAATCAAGATAGTCCCCCTTCCTTATTTTAGTAGCAAAGTGCACCCGTAATTTTCTCTGTTATAATTTCATGGTTTCTTTTGCAAAGAACTGTAAAGCTTGTCTTTGTTTTTAGCGACATACACTGACCTTTCTATGGACTCAAATCTTTCAAGTAGACAGAAGTTGTATTGTAGGGACTTTGGATGTTCTCTCTCTCTCTCTCTCTCTCTCTCTCTCTCTCTCTCTCTCTTTCTCTCTGTGTTTTTCATTTAATTTTTCACATATTCTATCATCTTGTGGATTAATGCTTGTTATGAATTATTAACATATGTTCAACGTCTTGCAGGCTTTTGAATAATTTAAGCGAAGCGTTACAGAACTCTGGTATAGACCTTTCACGGGCAAGCGTATCTGTGCAAATTAATTTGGGGAGGAAATCAGGTGGTAGGAGTTCTAAGCCTTCCTTAAGTTCTAAGGTATATATTACTTTTCGTTTATTAAATTTGTTTTACCTTTTTTTAGATGTCAAATGATGTCTTTGATATATTTACTTTTCTTCCTAGCTCGGGTGGAGATATTACTGTTTTAGCACATTATATCAAGGTGCTTGCCTTAATAAAAAAAAGCACTTGCCTAGGCAGGGCCTTAATGATCGCACCCTTGTGGAAATTGTTTGAGTGCGAGAGCTTTGCCTCACCTCGCCTGGGCATTCAGGCAAAAGCACTCAGAATGCTATTGTTAACAATGGCTCATTCTCAAGTTAAACCAAATAAGGCTTCGTTTTTTACGGATTTTTTTTATGCTCTTAATACATAAATTAAAATTTTTGTATAGAAGGTTGCTTTAAGAAGCAACAAGAAAGCTATCTCAAATGAAGCTTAAATATACGCACTGACAATGCTAGTACTTTTTAACACAACTTTCGACTCGATGTGTCTAACTATTACATGCATTATGTACCAAAGTGGGAGAGGATACATTGGATATTTAGACAAACATCTTGGTCACACTTGTCTAAATTGCTCATACCATGGTTATATTTACCCCTTCTTTGTCTGAAGCTCTTTGCTCATAAAATGCAAGGAAACTTTCCCTTCTCTCCTTCACAGAAATTATTAGGTGCGGTGTGTGTCCGGAGACCAATAAAAATGTGCCACGTCATATCATTGGTGGTACCCAGCTCAGTATCCACACTCGGTATCGCTGGGTACCGCTGCGTACCCAATGCTTGTGCAGACGGTTCCCCCGTCTGCACTCCGCAGCTAATAATTTCTCCTCTAAGTGGGCTACCCTCATGTCCTCTTCTTCGCTACTCCATTCTTGCTTTTCTCTCAACCTTCTCATCTTCTCCTCTCTCTTCCACTTCCCCTTCAAAACAGCCCTTGTTCTATAGACGACCATCTCTCTTCACTGCATTGAAAGGAGGTGAGAGATGGTCCATTATTATTTGGGCTTTTTAGAAAATTTGGTGCTTTCATGATTTTGCTATACCCTGACAGAAATTTTGGTCTATTTATTCGTCGGTATTAAAAACCACTTTGCCTGTATTGTTCACTTTTACAATATATCTCGCTAACTTATAAATCCATGTTTAATGAACTTATAGACATTCAAAACTATTCAACTCTGTCCACAGTAATCACAAACCATTTTGCCTGTATTGTACGGACTTTCTGATTTCTATTTCAGGATCTTCATCTTTTATCTGGTTACTTTGTGTTGGTACAGGAATGTTTAGAGAGTATGGGTGGTGATGAATCTGAAGGAGGAAAGCGGCAGAAATCAAATCGCGGTTGACGCTGCCGCGCTTGTTTGGTTTATGTGGTTGAACTCTAAACGGAACTCTTTTAAAGAGACTTAGGCTTCGTTTGGGACGGCTTTCTTTCTACTTCTTAAAGCAACTTCTTAGTACATTTTTGTACTAGGAAGTTGCTTTAAGAAGCAATAAGAAAGCCGTCCCAAACGAAGCCTTAGGCTTTGTTTGGGACAACTTTCTTACTATTTCTTAAAGCGGCTTTCTAGTTCAAAAATTAAAATTTTAATACTAGAAGTAACTTTAATAAGCAGTAAGAAAGCCGTCCCATACGAAGCCTTACGCTTGGAAGCAATCAAATGCAACTTTTTTGAGAATTTTATACATATGAGAAGCATCTCCTCTTATCTTAGGCATCTTTTGGGATAGCTTTCTTACTGTTTTTTAAAACATTATTTGTATTAAAAAAGTTACTTTAAAAAATAATAAAAATTTATTTCAAATGAAGTCTTAGGCTTTATTTGGGATATTTTTTTTCTGTTTTTTAAAACAGTTTTTAAATACATTCAAAAAAAATTTATATAAAAAGTTATTTTTACAAAACAATAATAAGAAAGTTGTTACAAATGAATCCTTAGTTTACTGTGCAATGTTTTCTCCACTGTATTTACAGCTCCTGTAGCTTCATTGCTACCTAAATTTTTTATTATGCTTATACAACTAATTTATACATTAATTTTTAATTTTGTATTAAAATTAATGTAATAAATATATATCATATTTATTATTAATTTATGAAATAAATTTAAAATTTTAAACATTAAAGGGATTAAAATATTCCCATCCAATTGTTTTTTGGCCTTCTTCCTTACATTTCCTTTAGATTGAGCAGGTCCAATAAATGGTGAGGTTAGAAACAAGATTTTCTATGTCTATGACTTCAATTTGGTGTTGAAAATTATTTTAGATAAATTTAGTTGAAAATGAACCAAAATCAACTTTTTTTTTCTTTTTTAATGTTTGGCCAAAATTCCCAAATGTTATAACTATTATGAGAGCTGATTTTTAATTTTTAATTTTTATTTTTATGTGTATCATAAATTTTTTTCCTTTTTGAAATGCGGACAACAATTTTTTTATCATTGTAAGGCTAAATATAAGCATGAAAACTCTATAAAAAAATATTATTGTGAAACAATTATTTTAAAACGGTCATAACAATAACATCAAATATTTATCTCATTACATGAGATTAGTTACATGAATCACATTTTTTTAGTCTTGTTAGGTGTTAAATTCTCATTTAAATTTAATATTAAAAAATCATTTCTAATGTTTTTTAATCAATACCTGAACCCCAAAAGTTATTACTAGTAAAAGTATATTGCATATATTTGATTTTAAATTTACTCAAACGAAAACATTTAGACTCTAAAGTTGACATCCAAAATTCAAATTTACTTTCAACTCCCTCTCTAGTTTTATCAACAAGAAGAATATCATTTGAAAAAAAAGTATAAATCATGGTACTTCTTCTTGCAAAATGTCTAGTAAGAACATACATGACTAAAGTAAAAGGATATGAAAGTAAAGTTGATAATTGATTTAATCCAACTGAAATAAGAAATACTTGGTCAAACCACTGTGTTTGAACATCAGTAACAATTCTAGCATACATATCCTTAATGACTTGAGTGTAAGCATTATTAATCATTTTATTTTCATAAGCTTCCTCTATATTAATAAATATCATATGTATATCCTCCTAATTCTCTATTTACTTCTCAATCAGATCTCTTAATAATGTATAGCTCCATAGTAAACATGCTCGACATGAATCCAAATTGAATTTGAGAAATATTAGTATCACGCTATAATCTATACTCAATAACTTTCTCCCATAGTTTCAAAGTATAAAACATTAACTTAATTCATCTATAATTTACACACTTTTGTGCATCACCTTTAATCTTAAAAATAGGAATCAACAAACTCTAGACTCCATTCATTTCACATCTTTTTAGTCTTCTAAATAACATTGAAAAAATTCACAAGCCAATAAATTCCTTTATCTCCAAAGTACTTTCACACCTTAATTGAAATATCATGAGCTCCAATAGTTTTCCACACTTTATTTTCTTTAAAATTTTTATAATTTCAATTTTACTAATATGCCGATAAAATAAAAATCTCTTTTTTCATTTAAAGTGCTAATGTCACTAAAGTTAATCGTATTTTTACAATCTTCAATGAAAAACTTATCAAAATATTTCATCCATCTTTATTGAATATACTCTTCTAATAAAAAAAAATTATCTTCATTCTTAATGCAATTCACTTGAATTAAATCCTTCTTTTATCTCTTTGCTTCACTAACTTACGCATACATCTTTCACCCTCCTCACTATCTAATATATTATATAAATCATTAAAAGTTAGGAACCGATGCAGCGGAGAAAATAAAGATGATTGTAAAATTATTGTGGAGAGAGTAAATTTTTAAAAGATTACTATAAAAAGTAACTTCGTAATACAAAAATTTATTGAAATCAATGGCCTAACAAAAAACTAAGGATGCGGTCTCAAAAGCAAAGCAGTACAAAAGCTATCTTAAATGAAACCTAAATTTATGGGGTGATAAATGTCAAATTGTTAGATTTAATTTAAAATTAGTGCAAAATATGATAAATCAATTAAAATTTATAATGCACTTGTCTCAAGCAAATCCGATAAAGTTAAGACCCTTGATGAACAAATTTAAAAAAAAAAAAATTCTAAGCTAATTTTTTTTTTCCTTTTTCCTCTCTTTATGAAGAAAATCATATTAGGATATCCTAATCAATTTCTTGGTTATGATGGTCTCAGAGCCCTTGAATCTTCTCTGAGATGAGTGAAAATAAATCAACCAAAGCATCTTTCTATAGGGTGAGCAAAATTTTAAATAATTAAATAAATATAATAATAATAATTTAATAAATAAAAAATATAAAAAAGTAATAATTCCACTAAAAAAAGTACAAAGTACTAATAAGATGATATCACCACATATCTAAGAGAAAAGTATAAATAGACTATAATGTAAAAGTCCTAGGCTTTGTTTTAACTAATCAACCAATTGAACAGAATATGGTTAGTTTGCAAAGCCCTACATGGGATCTTAGTTGGGTACCCATTAGGTATCCACACTCTGCGTGGGCTGGCTTCGCCCACCCCTGCCCAACCATGGTGACTTTTGAGATGTTGTACCCACCCATACCCACCCACTTCCATGCTTTTTGAACACAGTCGCCACAAATTGCTGGCCTTAAGGCTTGTTATACTTTGCTTTGACTGCAAAATTTTAAGTCACATATCAAAATTTATCGTGGTCGCAGCACAGATCAGTGTTGCATGTTGTATAATGAGGATTACAGTAATATATGGTATACAATGATTAGCAATGTAAATCATTTTATCCCCAGATAATTAGTAACTACACATATCCACCCATGAGGCCATGGGCGTACCCATACCCACCCATACCCAATGGGTATGGGTGGGTATGTGGGTGGGTGTGTGTGTGGGCACCTAATATAGGGCTCTGTTAGTTTGGGCATTTTTTTTATCAGTGATTTGACAAAATTGTAAATTGAGGGTTGGCAAACTCCTAGAGAGTGGTCATGGACTTACTCACCCTAGAACCAACATGATTTCACCCCAAAGTAAAACACATAAGTAATTTACATAACACTAATTTTAAAGCAGATCCAAAGACTTTGAGGTCAATCCTTATCACTTTCTATTCGGGATATTCATATGCAATTTCTTCTTTTTTTTTCACAATGTTCTCAACAAATAATGATTGCATGTCTGCAAAGACCACTCAAGAAGCATTTAACATAACCAAAATTAGACTGTAACTCAAAATGTTAGCCTTTAACTCATTCTAAGCAGCCTAACAAGGTAGAACAATAATCAAAACAGTGACTTATGTTTCGTTTGAAATGGCTTTCGTACTGCTTCTTAAAGCATCTTTTTAATATAAAAATTTTAATTTTTATACTTAAAAGTTGTTTTAAGAAGCAGTAAGAAAGCAGTCCCAAACGAAACCTTAATGTCCAAGTAGCAGCCTAATCAGCTAAACAAACAGTGTTCCTGTAAGCTCTCTATACAATCTTTTAGTCTTGAGACAATAAATAAACAGGATTCAATTTGATTTTGGAAGAAAACAGATAAAACGCTTTCTATTTAACAAACTTACATCAACCATTTTTATGAGAAACCAAAATTAATGTCATATGAAGATTGAAAATTTATGAAAGAATGAGCTTTAGGAGCCATTAATTTCATAATTGCAAGGGATGTCACTAATAATATTAGAATAAAGCAATCCTCTGCCTTCATGCATTGTTAAAAACCCAAACAGTAAAATGAATGAAAAATAGAGAAATTAATCAGATATTTTGATAAGTAGGAAATTTTGGACTTCGTAAAATAACAGAAATAGATTGAGGAAGAACAACCAGGTAGTTAGAAGATGCCCACAACTCTAATATGTATAGTATACCTATACTATGATATAATTATATTGCAATATATTTATACTATACTGTACTATAATATACATATACTACAGCATATCTACACTATACTATAATATATACATATTATTCAATACTTATATTATATTATGCCTTACTATATTATACTATAATATAACTATACTGTACTTTACTATCCTATAATATACCATATTATATATATACTATTACTATATTATACTATAATTATACTATAATATACTATAATATAACTATATTATACATATATTGTTCCTATAATACACTACACCTATATTATACATATATATTATACTATATTATATTACACTATGCAGATACTATAACTACAAATATATTATAATATACTATATTGTCAAGGGCAGAATCAACCTTAATATAATAGCAACCCCTATTCATTCATATCCTTGATCGTCATGCACTTTGCATATATATTGAGGGTCCAAGGAGTCAGCACCCCATGACGGGGTTCGGGGGTGGCAATTTGCCCTCCTGACCTAAAGAGAGCTCCGCCCCTGCATATTGTACTACACTATACTATACTACACATATCCTATACATATAGTTTACCATACCTACACTATACATATATTATATTACACTATACTAAATTATATCTATACTATAACTATACTACACCAGACCTATGCTACACATATATTATACTATAATATACTATAATATATGATACCTATATTATAGCTATACTACACATATATTATACATATATACATGTTATACTATATTATACAAACTGCATTATATGAGTTGAAGTGAGGGTTTTTCCATTCCTGCAATATTGATTTGCATGCATAAATTACTTGATATAAGGAGGTAGATCTAGGAGGTTCTTCTCTAATATAGATTAGTCGACTAAGACTATAACACTTAGACAATTTCTTGTGAATTGATTATCATTAAACATGACCTTAGGGTCGAGCTAATCCAAATTAACTGAACTAATGTGTTTGGTAGATTCAAGTTTCGTAATCTGTAAAATAATATTCAAAATTACATGGAAAACAACACATAAGAGATATGAGGAGGCTGTAAGTATAAATAGACGCCATTAACTAGGCATTGTGAGATCACTTATTCATAGATAAGCCTTATCCATTCACCTTTTGATCAGTTAAATGATGGGGCCGACCCTCATCCTTATTCATAGATATCTATATAATTTAATTTTTTTATAAGATTTATTTATTCTTTTGACTATTTTATCAAAAGTTTGCTTAAAGATAATAAGTATTTTATTTTCCTAAATTAAATTTAGCGTCCAACAAACTCTTAAAGTTGTTATTTTCTCCTATGAAAATAAATAAGAGAACATATAAGCTTTATTCTCAATGCCAAAAGCAGCATAGCCAATCTCTTTAACTTTAGAATTTAGATAGCATACTATCCCTCTCTAGCTTGGGATCAAAAGCAAGGAATAAGTAGAACGAAACAAGAAAAAATTTGATAGAGGCAAATTAAGCTTTGTTGGGACGGCTTTCTTCCTGCTTCTTAAAGCAGCTTTTAGTACAAAAATTAAAATTTTTTCACAAGAAAAATACTTCAAGAAGCGAAAAAAAGCCGTCCCAAACTAAACATTGACCTACATCAAAACCTAAACATAATATTTCATCTCCTCTTATCTAAATCTCACTAGAAGCTCATTTATGCCTTGAACAAAACGCTCATAGGGTTCTCTCATATGTAATCAATCACTACAAAAAATAAGCTACACTAAACGAAACCCTAAGACCAATTATCTCCAAATTGTCCAAGCTGGGTGCTTCTTTTTTTTTTAAGATCCATATTTTTGGTGAGATTATTTAGATCAAACATAATAATTTGTTGCTAAAACATAATTTAGCTAATTTTATGATTACCTTGCATTTAGTACAACAATTTTATTAAAGACTAAAAATAGCATGAATAAATTGCAAAAAGACTTGCATAAACAAGAGTTATCATCTCCACTCAACAAGATTGAAAATGTAGGTGGTGATAATGAAAACTTGAATGAAACATACAGTTTAAGAACTAAAAAAGAGTTTTGGATATTTTAGCTCTTCAAAACCAAATTAATAGCATTATACTCTTTTGTACAAGTTTTAGAGCTTAAAGATTAGTGTTTTTCACAGTAAGATTTTAAAACTTGACATATATTGTGATAAATGATTTAAACTAGCTTAAGGCCATAACCCAAGCCAAACAGCTCTTATGGAGGAGTAATGTAAGAAAATAAAGCTTAATCTAAAGAAAAGTGAAATCAAGCATAGTTATGCTTAAGCACCCCAACTTCTCTTTTTTTCGCCCTAAGACCATTTTGTCCTACCTATAGCGATTCTCACATTGTCATCTCATGGCAAGTCTTTGTTCATTTCACTATCACCCCATATGCGCCATGCCTCTTATGACAGCTTTGAAATCGCTTGCCTTGCCCCCATGTGTACTCACTAACCATTAACTATTTACTAATTCTAATTTGGTTAATAGCTTGCTGGATTAGCCTGTTAAATGATGCCAGTTAATTTGATTTCGCACATGGTTAGCTAAATGATAATCTAGTTAACTATTTGCTAACTTCATATGCAGGGCTAGGCAGTTAAAATGAAAGTTAACGTTTGTAATAAAATAGCCCCAAATGGACGTTAATCTTGATAGCTAGGACTTAAGCCAATGAAGTGCAACTTTAAAGAGTTTTTACCAAACAAACATTTATGCTTATATTAGTATGTTTTCTTTCTCCAACCAAACGGCTTAATTTCACTTAGACTCGGGCTTTGTTTGGGGCGGCTTTCTTACTGCTTCTTAAGGCAGCTTTCTTAAAGAAGCATTAAGACCTTAAGAAGCAGTAAGAAAGCCGTCCCAAAGAAAGCTGCTTTAAGAAGCAGTAAGAAAGCCGTCCCAAACAAAGCCTAAAAGTAGAAAACATTTTGCCTGATTTATCCAAAATGAGCAAACAGATAGGCCCTTAGGCTCAGCTTCAATCTAAAAAAAACCGAGCTTTGTCACTATACAATCAACATATACCATAATTCTCAAAACCACTAATTTTCATCATGCAATGTTTCAAAACAAAGAAGTCATTTAATTCTTGAAAAAAAAAGGAGCAAAATAGGCCATTGCAGCACACATTCAAGACACAAGCATGCAAGTTTCTCATTTCCAGCCGCATTCTAGACAACAATTCAAAGCAAATATAGGCATTCCAGATAAATGAAAGACTACCATCACAACAGTGCAATGAACCAAGTTCAATTGTTGAATGTAGCAAGAAAATAACAATATAGACTTGTATGTTTATAAAAAATATTGATCAATACAAGAAAGGGCAAAATTTTACTTGTTCGCCAGTACAATAAAACTTCGAAGCAGGTCAATCACATTACCTGCCTATCAGCAGCATCCGCAACGATGGGGAGACGAGGCACCTGGCCCAAAAGACAAGTGGTGGATCCGTATATCATGCTGATGAGGAGGAAGAGAAAGACGGTGCTGTCAATGGACATGACTATGTCGAGGCCGACGCCATCTCGTGGGGCGAAGAAGCGCTCTATGAGATCCGGGAAGATGAGGAGGACGTCGAGGACGATGGCCTGCATCGTGTTATAGCGAACGTAACGGCTGAAGGACGAGGGGTTACGGACTACGGCGAAATAGAGGGTGAGAAAGATAAGGAAAGGGTTGAGAGGTGAAGCGCTAAAGAGGCGGATGGCAGGGGCGAAGGGGAAAATGATGAGTTGAATAGGCGGGAACTGGGCGAGAAGAAAGCGACCGAAATGGACGCCGTCGAGGAAAGGGTAGAGGTAGCAGACGGCGGAAATGATACGGTCGGGCGGCTCGGCAGAGTCGCCACCGCCACGGCCTTTTTTGGCGCGGGTAAGGAGTCGTCGGCGTCGGCGGTGGCGTTCGTGGCAGTGGGGGAGGAGGAAGTGGGGGTAGTGAGGGCGGAGGGGTTTATAAGAGAGATCGGATAGAGGTAGAGGCGAGAGGAGGAGGAGAGTTGACGAGGAAGAAGAAGCCATAGGTTTGGCTCTCCTAGGCCACTACTTCACTCTAATCGCTGGCTCTCTTTTTTTCCCTCGATTTTTTTGTTCTAGCAGTACATTTTCTACAATGTCACATTTTTTTTGTTCTAGCAGTACATTTTCTACAATGTCACATGGTTTAGTATATTTTTTAAATAATTGGTGAAGACTATTTTTTTTTTAAATTAGGTGATAAAATAATTAAGTTTAGGGGACTTTGCACGGTAGAAAAGTGAAAAAAATAAAAAAAATATATATAAAAAAATTGGATGTTTGATTTGATGAAAAGTAAATTCCAAATAAAATAAAGTAAATGCGGTGTATTACTTTTTAGTTCATTTGTTGAGGTAAAACGTTCTGGACTGTTTAAGCCGAGAACGATGACCACCGCCAACGAATACTGCCACTGTCAGTCGCCGCCTCCTGCCACCATACACCGTCGATCGTTGGCTATCGTCCACTACAAGTCGCTGCTGACAACCGTCGACCACCTACTGTCGCTCACCCAAGCCGCCTGTCACAACCACCACCGTCGGCCACCCCGAACATAACTATTTTACACTTTACATTGCATTCACTTTACTTCAAAAAAAAAGGAGATAAAATCATATATGTCATCCAAACAACTATAAACTATTATTTTTATATTGTATTCATTTTACACTGCATTCCTTAAGCTCCTTTTCCATTTGACAAAATTAGGTATCCTCAAACAATGTATCATTTGAGTTGATCTTCAGTATTGTTGCATGATAAAATATTTGCGGTGGTGAGAGAGTTGATATCTTAGCATAGATAATAATAACTTATATATGACATGAAATTTTTGACTTAAAAAAAGTGTGTAGGGGAAATTGTCTGGCTTTCTTCACATAAAATGATTTCATTACTTCGATAATCAAAATTGGGTCACAGGTAAAGTTCGAATCCAACCTGTAACAAACCCAGCACTATTTAAACCGACCCGTTTTTATAACAAACCCGGCACTAAAATATGTTTTACTAATTTTTTTATTTAATATTTAAACCTAAATCAAATTAAGATAAGATTTACTTCAATCAATTAAAAATAAACCAAGTTTAATTCAATTTGGGTAACATGGTTTATTATTTTTTGGAAATAGCATTTACTTATTTCATAACAATCTTTTAAAACCCTAGTAAATTGATTAAAAATAGGTCAAACATGGTTGATTTTGGATTTCGGGTCAACTTTAACCTGAACTGGTTTTACAAATGGGTCGAAATCCCTAACCCGAACCCGACTTGGTTAGGGTTTTGATCATGTTTTCGGATCGTGTCAAATATTGACACCCTTATTTGAGATGATATTATAAAGTATACACTTTATCATTGTTGGATAATATGTTAATACAATGTAGCTGACATTATAGATTTGCTTTTGATCGATTTAGATGGATTATTTGACTAATTTGTTAAATTAAATGATCGAACTAAATCATAGGTATAGCCAAATTACCAAATCATAGGTAGAACCGAACCAGATTGAATTGCAATATAGTTCAGTTATTTCAAATAAATTTTGGTTTAAACAAAGTAGTAACATATTAGTTTTTTTTTTTTAAACAACACATTTTATTGCAACAAAAAACGGGTACATCAAGCTTATAAACGGAATGAAAAAAAGCCTACAGAGATACAAAGGGTTAACAACTCATCAAGCTCAGTATTTGGTAGAGGCTTCCAACTACTCTGAAGCCAGACACGGGCCATCCAATTTGGAGTGAGAACAGTAACGCGCCAAGTATCCATCCCGATCGAGCAAGAAACACACCACCAAAGGTTGCCACGAGCCACGGCTTTAAAGAAGTGAGCCCTAGCCACATCATTGCCCACAAACTATACATCGCATCCGCAAATATTAAATGAAGCTTCAGCAAAATAGCAACCACCAAAAGTAAAGGATGTTGAAATAAACCATAGTGTCTTCCAACCGATGCAGCCCACAATAGGTTGGAACGAATGAACCAAAAACGCCACCACCACATGAGACCAACAAGCAAAGAGAAGAGCCAAAGGCTACCGAAACCAGCACCACAAACCCAAAATTATTTCTTATCACGTCTACCCTCCCATGAGATAAAACTAAGACAATAGGTCGGTCATTCTGCAAAGCAAAATCATCCCCAGGTTCTTCATCCCCACTCACTTCCGAAGAGAAATCGGATGAACATTGAAAACAATCTATTTGCATTCTCACACTCTCTCCCGAATCAACACCCACATGAGAGAAGAAATCCTCAGTTGATATTAGATTAACATGAACCTCAAGAAAAGGGCCAGAAACTTGAACAGTATGCATCATTGGAGAAAAATATCCCGACTAGGTGAAACAGAGGAATCTGATTTCTCAGCAAGCACACAAGAAACCTCAGCCAAAACCAAGCCGCACAGGGCAGGCACAGAATTAGCACACGACACAATATGTTGCAAGTTTATAGCACAATTACCATCCCCAGCCTCACTATCACATAAACGATGGTCATGGATGACCGAAGAATCCATGAGCACCACATTAGGATTTAGGACCTGGAGAATCACAAACAACAATAGGGGACATAGGCGGAAGCACAGGGCTAGACACAGGAACATCCTGTCCACATACTTGCAAAATAAAGGAAGGGAAAGCATTAACAGGAACCATAGGATTAGCAGCCAACCCATACAGACCAACACCTAGCAAAATAGGATTAACAGAATCATTCAAAACACCCTCACCCGCGTTGTTCACAACAAAAGCTCCATGACTAACAGGAATAGCTAGTTTCGAAGAGGAAACTAGATTGGTAGTAGTGGAAGATGAACGACAATCACCCCGCTTATGCCCAATGGATGTACAAATATCACCAAAAGGGGGAAAAACTTCCATTTGCACCTACTGAACATAGCCCAAATTCTTGGAACCCAGCCAAACCTTCTCTTGATAGCTTTTCGTAATATCCAATTCAACCAAAACTAGCGCCAGAGAGGGTCGCGAGCCAAGAGGTGGCGGTGTCAATTTTCAAAGGGCGTCCAAATAAAGATCCCAACACGTGAAGGATCTTGGGAGCAAAAAGATGGGGCCGAAGAGACATGAAAGATATCCAGATGGGGATAACAGGAGATTTCACTCCAATGTCAAGGGCAGGTGACCACTTAGTGATTTTCATATAGCAATTGAAAACTATATAAGAACGATTACAAAAAAACTCTATTGCAATCCATTAGCCATATCATTCGCAAGTTTAATCAGGACATGAGACGAATCGAGTAATGTTACCGAAAGCTTAAGGTTAAAGAAAAACTGACGGATAGCATATAAACTAGGGCGTCGGGAAGGAAAAAAGCTGACCAAAACAAACTGGAAAGGAGCGGCTAAAGAAGAAATATCTTCCTCCGAAATCCAAACAGCAGGCAATCCACGGATAGAACACGTTTTGAGAGAAAAAAAAGAACATCTAACAAATGCCCAGATAAAACATCCAAAAATGAACGTGATTTCTTAGATTCATCCAAAAAACCTAAATCTAAGAGCCTATGTGAGGCCATGTCGACCATCGGGAACGAACAAAGAGACAAAGACACAATAAAATAAAGGGCAAAAGAGAATAAAACTTTCCTGAACCCAGAGAGACACCATCAGCCGGAAAACGAAAAAACATCCAGCTGGAAAAACCAAGTGAAGCGGGGCAAAGCCCACGCGCCGGAGGAACCCGAGCACGGAGCGGAACAAGCCGAGCTAGAGGGAGTTTTTTTTAATAGAAATTCAAATTATATATTAGATTATTTAGATATGGAGTTCTAAAGTTTAGGGTTTACTAATTTATTAATGAAACTTTGACTTTATATTGAACTAAATTTTTTATTTTAAAACCAAACCATTAATGTAATCCAAATAAACCTTACTCCAAAATAAAAAATAGAAACATCCTTTAATAAATGGAATCAACTTAGCCAATGATTTAATTTGATTTTTTTATAGTTTAAACCAACTAATGCACATCCTTATTGGCATAAACTGTGAAAATTGCTACCATGTTGGAATTAGGAGTCTTGAGATGTTAGAGTTGCTATCAAAAAATGAACAATTGCTTATTTTATTTTTCTCCTTAAAGGGGAAAGGAATGACAACCAAGAAGGCAAACATCGACTTTGATAGTGATTGCGAGTGTCGGTCTTATGGTCAACAACTCACATCAACATTGGTCTGGATGGTAGGTGTTGGCTCCGAAAATTTGCGCCCCGGCCTCGACTGCGTATGAGAGTTTTAACAATGTTCATGGTCAAATTTTTAGAAAACAGATTAACTTTGGGATAAAGCACTGCCCAGAGATTTTGCCCTCATTTTGTGAGAACTTTATAATATGGTTCTAGGTTTTAGGGGTGTCAATATTTGACACGACACGAAAACCCGACTCGAACCCGACCCGAAAAATCCGGGTTGGACCCGACCCGTTTTCCACCCGGGTCGGGTTCGGGTTCCAGAAATCGACCCGTTTGAAAAACGGGTCGGGTTCGGGTTGACCCGGCGGGTTGCCGGGTCAACCCGTTTGACCCGTTTAGTTTAAAAACCGAACCCGACCCGTGACCCGAAATTGACACCCCTGCTAGGTTTTCCATAGACTGAAGCATCTATGGTTAATTATCTCTCCCAATGATGAGAGAGCACTTTTGATTAAGGCTACTTATGAAATAGGTACGAAGTACCTAACATATAGTAACAGCACGTTAAATTTTTAGAATTATAATTTTTTTATTTTTTATATGCTTAAAACGGATGATGGGGGGAATGATGACGAACCCCATCAAGATCCCAAGGTTCCGTCGTCCCGGGCCGTCATGGTCTCTAGTTTAGTTAATTAGAGGAGGTAGTCGACCCAACATAACTGAATGATCCTTGTCAGCAGGCATGAGTTGCTTCGTCCAAGAGTACCTTGTAGACTTAAAGTGATTGTTTGTTTAAGGAAACAAATTTTATTCAACCTTAGCTAACAGAAAGCTTTATGTCTTATTGAGTGTACCCCATAATTCATTACTCAAGGAGCTTTTAACCATTGGGGAACATACGAGCTTTGACCGTAACTGTGATATAGTAGTGCTATTTTGCATCAAAGCCACCCAGTTAGAGGGCACATTCCACATTCTCGTTGGTGAGAAATCATTTGAGAATGAATCGTATTGATACATTCAATTAGACATTTTGTTCTTTGTGAACTGAAGTTATTCTTAAATTTGTCATCCTTAAAAACATTTGGGATAATGAATGGATTTTTGCTTTAAGTTTTAAATAATAAATTTTATTTAAAATTTTGAATATTGTTTTTATCCATATTTTGTTCCAAACATGATTTAATTTTGAAATTTGGGATATTTTAAATATTTGAGATCCCCTCCGGTCGAGATTAGCTTTCCACACGGCCATCATCGAAAATTTATTGTAGCCATTGGGAAACATTTGCATTTCATAAGCATTTGAAGGTGTAGAGTCCCCTCCAGTTGATATAAATATTCAACATGGTCATCATCGAGGATTTAAGTAGTTCGTATATTTATTTAAATTGTGTCAATTCTGTTCACATGCTAACAGAAGATTGGGTTTAATATCGATTTTATGCTTTTAATAGATTCACATGCTAAAGTATGATATTGAGCAAAAAAGAATAAAAACTATAACAATGCCCATGTTATGATCGAGTTAGGCTTTGTTTGAAACAGCTTTTTTGTTGTTTTATAAAGCAGCTTTTTAGTACACAAATTTATTAAATTAGAAATTTTTTACTAGAAAGTCGTTTTAGAAAGCTGCAAAAAAAATGCATAAATATAGTCTAAATCACATTAAATTAATGAATAAGGTTGCCCATTATTAACCCCATACTAATTATGAAAACGAAAATAATATTTTGCTCAATTTGTTATCCACGAAATTCTCTATTCTAGTTAATTATATATATTTTATTATAAAAAACAACCACTAGTTGACTATAAAGACAAAATATTAAAACACTTTATATCATGCTATTTATATATTTAACACTTAAAACTTTAATATTTCATGACTGTCACTCTATAAATTTTAATATGTCATGTCTGTCACTCTATAAACTTTAATATTTCACTATGAACCCATATTTGATTAATGGATGATAGGTATGAAATATTAAAAATTTAGATGTTAGATATATAAATAATATGATATAAAGTGGTATATATGTAAATCCCCCATATTAAAAATTAAGAACACTACTATCACAAAGAAATTCATTTTGGATCCAACTATTCATGTATGAAAGTTTTTATTTTGTTATAAAAAATTACAAAAAAATTTAAAAGATTCATAATAATTTTAAATACATAACAATAAAATTTGAAGATATATTTATACAAAATGATCACAAAGATAATTAATTCTTGTTCAAACATGTGTCCAATATCATTCCATGTTTTTATTAAAGAGTTCTATAAATACATCCAACATCTTGATATAACTTTTTTCCTAAAACACATAAATATCTATATAATAATTTCAAAATAAATTATTTTATTATACAAATTATCACTATAAATTATTTTCATTTATTATATGACAAAACTATATTGTTTGATATCTAACATGCCAGCTGTGATCATTGGACGTCTGCAACAACTAAATAAGTTTCAGACACCGTGTCTGCGTTCAACGGTATCAGCGGAGAAGTCGACGCCGTCAAATCTCAGACTCCCAATGAGAGACGCAATCAGGACGCAATTCCACCGATAAGCGCGGCCATTCATATTCACATTCATAAGCTTTAAAGGAAATTCGTGTACTATATTTATATAAAATAAAATATAAGTAATTTTTACCTACATAATCTTTAAAATTATTGAAAATATATAATTAACATTATAATTATTATATTTACTCATATACCACATAAAACTCCTATTTTTCTCAATTCTACCACTTCATTTAAGCCTGTCAAAAATCCCGCCTTGTTGCAACACTGAAGCTTACTTAACATTTCTCGAAACCCATCGTTTCCTGAATACTTCTTCCCATAATCCAGAATCTCTTGATTACTTCCTTCTCCTCCTGCACTGCACCATAATCATTTTGCTCAAATTTACTGGCGATGGCGATGCTACTTTGATGCTCGAAAGAAGAAAAGATGCTTCTTCATCGATCACAAACCGGAATGATTGAACCATTTAACACTCAGTAGGTGGACGATACAAATCCTTTTCATCTGCCGCAAGTGCTTGCCATAACGAGCGAAGGCAATGTCATGACAATTGTAAAAGAGGCGGTTAGCGATGCTTGAAGGTGGTCGGGTTGAGAAGGTGAGGTCTTGGGTCTTCGTCACTTGTCCTGCTAAGTCGACCGAGGAGATGATGGGTAAAAGAGAAGGACGGAATCAAACTTTTTGGAGAGAGAGAGTGGAAGGAACGGTGAAGGTAAGGGCGGAGCTAATGACAATTGTTGATTATGGGCAGCGCAGGAGGAGAAGGAAGGAGGTTTCTAGTTTTCTTTAGATTGAGATTTGAAAAAATTGATGGTAGGAGAGAAGGAAGTAAGCGGTGGGGGAGAAGGGCGATGATGTGATCAAGGAAATGTTATGGTAGTTGGCTCCAGCTTACCGGAGACATCTCCATGCCGCCGTTGCTCTTGTTCCACCGACCAACCCCATCTTCGCACGAATGAACATAGACGTGAGGCAGGATTTCTAACGGCACTTGAACGATGTGGTAGAATTGAGGAAAAGGGATTTTTAGGTGGAATATCAGTAAATACAATAGTTTAAGCGTTAAATATGTATTTTCAATAGTTTTATGTATTATGTATATAAAAATCCCATACAATGTATGAAAACTTCAAAATTACAACGTGTACATGGAGACTTTACTCTGATAGAACCCTAAATCATAAACCAAAAGGTGTAAAAATAAAAAAAATTCCTTAATAATATTTTGTTTCTCTCTAAAAGTATTCAATAGCACAGAACAACTTGCTATCTCCCACATTCAAAATCCGCCATGCTTACAAAGCCTGAACTGAATTTTCTATACATTAATCAAATCTTATTTCAAGAATATAAATTAATACAACCATCTCACCGTATGTACCAGCTGCTTGAAGAGATTGTTACCTGTTCAGAGATGTAGCAGCGCAATTGGAGCTCAAAGTCCTCTTGGCGAATGAGTAGAATTTTACACATTGAGGAGGAGGAGAACAGACACGTCGAATTCTAACGAAGATCATTGTGAACTGAAGTTCTGATCCTGAAAGGGAAGAATGAGACATTCCTGAGGGTTAGAATAGAAGTAGTCCTCTTCCTTTGGTCGCTCCATGATCACTCTTCTCCTTACAGGCTTCCCCATTCGGTCTTCATGGGCAGCCTTTACAGAAGAAGAGAACTCGCCCCAGTTAATATAATCATAGTTGTACTGGTCTATCAGCTCCACGAGAAGCTTACGATCCAAGAGAAGAGTCTTTCTGAAGCCCAGGTATCTGAGAGTTGGCTCACAGTCAAATAAGGCTATTAGAGTTCAATGAGTGAGTGAAAGAAAGGATTTGAAGTACCTCCTGTGACCTTCAACCACCTTGGCCATGTTGCCATCGTACGTAGGAATAAATATGTCACTCTCCAATGATACAAGATAGTCCAAGGCTGCCATTTGTGAAGAGTGGTTCTGAAAAAATCTAAGGTCTGATGGCTCCAAAAGTGTCTCTTTCCTCACCTATTACACAGGAAGAAGAAATCAACAAAAGGAATATCACGTAGGGCTGCAAATGAACTGATCTGAGTCGAGTATGTTCGTGTTCATGTTTGAGTTCATTTATCATTAGCTTGTTCAAGTTCGGTTCATGTTTGATTCGAGTTTTATTGTTTGTGTTCATGTTGTATTCATGTTGTGTTCATGCTCGGTTCGTTTAGTGCTCATCGAGCTTTAAACAAACAAGACTTACGAGCTATGTTCGTGAACATATTTAGCAAATTTTTGACACTATCAAACAAGCACGTTCATAAACAAATCTAATGAACTTGTTCATAAATGGATGACCAAATTATAATATCATGAATCAAACTTTTATTAAGCTTTTTATCGAGCTTAATACCGAGCTTGTTCACGAGCTTCAAATGATGTTGTTCGTGAACATAAATGAACCAAACACATTAGGGTTCAAGCTTGTTTATTTAAGGATCGACTATTAAAAATGTTGTTCAAGTTTGTTTGTTTAACTAGTTAAACGATCACAAACGAGCTTTAATCAAACCGAGCAACGAATAGCTCGTTGAATGTTTGGTTCGCTTGCAGCCCTAAGAATATGGTTCAGGAACAAAGAGACATTCGAAACTACCAACCACATATGGATAAGCTGCAGTTAGACTAGTCATTCTCCTAGCTCCAGCATATATTTCCCCTGCAGCAATGTATATAGTGGTGCTGGGATCAATGTCCAATGCCTTGAGCATCAGAGCTGTTTCCTCTGGTGTCAAAGGGCAGAGACCATCTTTCCTTTTTAGTTCAGAGTCTATAACTTTTTCCTTCCACCATGGGTATGCATATCTGTAAATGGAAAGTTATATGTTACTATCAAATATATGTAACTTATCATGAATGAAAATTAATTCCTTTACATTCAACCTCATTCTGGTCAACTCCTCAGCCTCCTCCACAGTGCAGCCATGAGTGCAGCCTGAGAAAGCTAACATGTCCATTTCGTATCGGAGATGAAGGACGAGAAAAGGGCCATTTCGGCGAAGCATACCGATCACTCTCCGTCCTAATTCTTCGATTTGTGGAGTGAATCTAAGAGCGGCGTAGTTTGTTCTGCAACGCAACTTCTGAATCTCCATTGGCAAGCCATTGTTAGCAAGCCTGGAATCGGTTTTATTCAAATGAACAATCTTGTGCTTCTGGATCAATGGCAAAATCTGCTTGCAAACATAGAAATTTCAGCCATTATTACACTGCAGCATTCAACAACCTTGAATGGATTTAAAATAAATAAATAAACAACAAAGCAAACCTGATTTTTGTAATAAGAAATGTCGGACCAACTAATAGGTGGCAAGGAAAAGTACATTCCTAGCTCAACTCTTTGTTTTAATCTAGGAGGAAGCTCTTTTAATATCCTGACTTCATCCCTCAATGAAGTAATGAAATGTTCTACATCAAATATGTCTTGAAACTCACTGTCAAATTGAAATTTCTGTATGAATTACCACTGTTCAAAGTAAAAGATAAAGGAGAGGCAAAAAAACTTTTATCACCCCAAACTTACCTAGGATCACTCCAGAAAGATGTCTTATCCAATTCTGGGATAATCAGCGTCACATTTAAATATCTTGCAATAGCAACCATATCGCATATCTTCAATTTGATGTTAAAAGCAATTTAGAAACAGGCAGCCATTGATTTAGAATAGAACAAAACAAAAGCAAATCACAATATTTAATTTTCATAATTCAAGTACTTACTGCAGCTCGCATTTGATTTAGGCCACCATTGCAGGAAACCATCAAATAACCATTATTCTTATAAACCCCTAAATAAATAAAAAAAAAATCACCAAATGTTAGATGGAACAATGTTGAAATGGAAGTAAACAAACCATAAGAAGAATAAATCTATACATAACAATTACATTTACATCTAAGGCTTCGTTTGGATTGACTTTTTTTCTACTTCTTAAAGCAACTTTCTAGTACAAAAATTTTATAAAGTTGCTTTAAGAAGCAGTAAGAAAGTCATTCCAAAATAAAACCTAAGGCAGCAATAAGAATAGCAGTGAAGATTGGGCGTGGGCTGTCGCCACCCCTGGAGTTGAAATAAATCTTTTAATATTATATATTACATTATCAATCATAAATTATTTTTAAATATTAGTCAATTTATCATATTTTAATTATATAAATATATTATTGCTTATTAATTATAGAATTTTAACAAATTATTGAAGTTAATGACAATAGATAGTAAATTGCCAATTATAAATCATTATTAACAAATCTAATTCATAAAACCCTAGTTTTTTCCCCTTTCTGCCGTTTGCCCATTCCACTCTACTCAAATTCTCAAAGCCCTCTCTTCTCCTACCCATCTTCTTCACTCTTTGGAATCAGACATCTTCTTTTCCATCATTTACCCATCTAGTCCTGTCAAAGCTTTAAAATACCCCTCTCTTTGCCGCTGCTGAAAGGGAATAGGGCTAACACCAATTGTTCCCTTCATTAATGCCACCACAAAGTAAATGCAGCTAATGCGAACGCATTAAGAGCTTACGCGGCCGCATAAAGTGCTAACTTGGCCGCCTATTTCAAGTAACACTTGAGACAGGACAGGTTAGGAAGAGGACTAAATGATTATGCAAACGGCTACTCTAATGGCAAAATCACAGTTAAAACGTCCGTAAAATGAATACACAGATGGAAAATGTAAAGCTTCTCTGAAAAGGCAGGAAATATGCACAATTTTCCTTTCTTAGAACAAGCAAAATAAGAAATCATAAACGCTGTATCCATCACCGTCATAATGCCAATTATTAAAAACCATTCAGAAGAGCTTTATCAAGCCTTCAGCGATCAGCCCGGTGAGTGAAGAGACCATTATAAACAGCAATATCATAAAAACTTCCTTTTTTTATCTTCTTTTTTATTTTTGATGAGGAAGGCACAATCAGGCATATCATTCCCAAAAGAAACATAGAGAATTTGACCCTTAATTCTTGGAATAAAAATACTAATCATTTTAATGAGCCTTATAGCAATTATATACTGCTTATATATTGGAAGGAAAAAAAAAACTCCAACTTCCTAAGAAAATTCTTGTCATTTTCTGTTCCTACCAAACCAATCATCTCCCTCTCAAGGTAAAGTGCACCCAATCAAATTTAAAGAAACCACAGAAAAAAAAAAATCTACAGAAAAGAATAAATATCAAAAAGTGAAAAAAAAAAAAAAATACTCACTCTTGGGTGGTAGAACAATCTTCTGAGCAATAACTGGTGGATGATTCATCGCCGGCGATGGCGGAGAATCCAACAGAGTGAAGCAGGAGGGCCAGACCTTCAGAACCCTCGGACCCCACAACTCCCCCAGTGCAGTAAGCTGCACCACGCACGTCCACAGCAATATGGTGGTAGTCGCACGGATCATCCACAGCTTCATCCTCGACCTCGACACCATCGCACCCTTAAACCTCTGCACCGCTACAGATGCCTTCCCCTCGCGGCATGACTTCAAACACGTCGGCCTCTCTTCGTACTCAGATCCCGGCGCAGACCTCTCCAGCTTGCACATCCCCGGAACCCAAATGGCTCCGCCCCCATACATTAGCAACCCTAGTCTCCAATCTAAGTAATCCAGCAAACAAAAGCTTCCCTCCCTCTCCTCTCAATTAACAGAAACCCAAAAAAAAAAAAGAAAAAAAAAATATACAAAATCAATTACCACACCTTCGTCACCTCGTCCTGTTCAATTCACAAACTGGTATACAATAAAAACAGAATCAATGCAGCATCCTCGATTCCAATCAATGCAGCCTCGCTTAGCGAAGAAATCCCTTCAATTCAACAATCGAACAGAAACAATGCTAAAAAAAGAACGAATCCAACGAAAGACAAAACTTAGGTTTCCACACCGGTGAAAACCCCAAAATCCAACACCAAAATCAACCCGTCCTCCTCCCCACTCCACTAATCAGCTCACCACGCCTGCTTCAACCGGAAACCAGTTCCATAAAATTTCGACAAACTACGGGGAAACTCTATAAACTCGCTTATTCAGGTAAATGGATTGGAATAAATGACCGCTCCAGCGAGACGGCGGCAGATCTCGGGGTAAACTGGCTGCGACGACAATACTCCGGTGACCGGAATCCAAAGGAAAGCCGCTCTATCCTTCCAATTTATGGAGCGCAGAGAGAGAGAGAGAGAACCTCTGTCGCCTTATGCGTCGGTGGGCCGGTGACATATTACGAGCCGACGCGATCCGTACTTCTCCGATCTCGTATTCCCTACCATATTTTCCAATCCTGACCGTCCGTTCCAATTCCTTCGCGCTGTACATCGTGGACCAAAGTGGACCCATCCATCCGAACTGGACGCGTCGTGTCGGGACACATGGCTTTATCTCGAGCGCCGACAGGATTCAGAGCGGAATAGATGATGGACGGCCACGATCTCGCTGCTGGCGTTAATGCTAGTTCAAACAGCTCCATGCACGATTTCACTGTCTCGTGACGGCAGTCGTCAATCTTTCGCGTCTCCTCTATATACTTCCGTCGATTTCGCCGTTAATTTCGTGACAGCCAACCGTTAATTTTGGCAATGAGAAAATGGCTAATGCAGGCCTGTAATATATACGGGGAGTGTATACTTTCGCTGAAGACTTGAAGGTTCAAATCATGGTATTATTTTCTTGTTTATTTATTTTCTTATGATTTAAACTTTAATAAAAATTAATAATTTTGCATTAAGTTTATTTATTTGTTTTTTAAAAAATATTAAATTATGAAATAAATTTAAAATTCAACTATAATTCAATAACTCGAGGTGATTTTTTAGACTGTTGTATTTTTTTTAAAAGTGATTGTAAAATTATTATATGAGAAATAATTTTCTTAAAAGTTATTATATAATAACTTTTTAGTACAATAATTCCTAGAAATTAGTAATCAAATAAAATTATGATTATAGTCTTAAAAATAAAACAGTAAGAAACTTGTTAGTGAAATAGTTGTGGAAAAAATAATTTACCTACTCTGGTAGCAAAAGGTTGCTTTTCAAAACAGAAATTTCTAAGAAGCAATAAAAAATTAATAAGCAAATAAAATTGTTATTGTTATATAAAAAAAAAGTAGCTAGAAAATTATCCCAAACAAATCTTAAGTCTTATAAAATTTCATATGTATTATTATAGATTAAAATATAATTAGATCATTTAATTTAATATTTCGTAGGACAACAACAACATCGTCAACCCTTTATCCCATTACATGGGGTTGGCAATATTAATCTTTTTTCTCCATTGTACTGTTAAGAGTTAAATGCTCATTTAAATTGAATAAAAAAATATAACTTCTAAAACTTTCTAAGTCTTTTTAAGTCTATCTCTACCTTTATGAACATAGGTTAAATATAATACATCTACTCTCCAGACCAAGTCATATGAAGGCTTTTGTATTATGTGGTCAAACCATCTACGGCGACTCTCTCTAATCTTGTTTGCCACTGGTGCTACTCCAACATTTTCACGTGCATACTTGTTTCGCATTCTTTCTCTAAGAATGAAGCCACTCATCCACCTAAGCATCATCATTCCTACAATACTTAAATTAATTTTATGCTTCTCTTTCAATGACCAACATTTTTTCTAATAAAAAAATTGCAGGTCTCACCACTATCTTGTAGAATTTTCCCTTAAGTTTGAGAGGCAGTTTTTTATTCACATAATAAGCTCAATGCATCCCTCCACTTCAACCATCCAACTTGAATTATACTAATAATATCCACATCTATTTCATCATCACTTCGAACAATAGACCCGAGATATTTAAGCATGTGCTCTTTTTAATGACTTGATCACCCAAAGTCATAATCATCCCACTATATCTATTGTTATTATAATTACACTTTATTTATTTGGTTTTAGATCAACTCAAACAAAAGCCTTCAGACTCTTAAGTTGACCTTCATAATTCAAATTTTCTTTCAACTTCCTCTTCATCGTTATTAACAAGAAGAATATCATAAGAAAAAAAAAATAGAAGACAAAAAGAAGATTAACATGACCAATGCGAAAGGATGAAATGCATAAATCGAGAAATGGTCTGCACACTACTGCTGCTAGACCCCAAGCTTTTGATGAGAAAAATAGAGGGTTGTGTTAGGTTGTTGACAACTATCATAAAACTTGTCAAATAATCATGACATAAATATTTTAATTTAATATTTTAATATATTTATGATAAAAAAAAGCAAATCATAAAGAAAGCTGAAATTTTTTTTTTTTTGGGTTTTTTAGGCAATTACATCAAACTCACACACACGTCACAAGCTTCGAATCCAATACCCCTTAATTATAGCTAAAATTTTCATCCAACAAATCAAAATGAGCTCTGTATAAAGACTGAATTTCAGATATAATTTCTGATATACCGAAATTAAAATTGAAATTAAATTTAAAAATATTAATCGAACACTGTGAGTTTAAGAGAGCTAAAAACTGTTCAATCAATAAATGTTGTGAGTGCGAATTTTGTTGTTAGAAAGTCATTTTTATGGAAGACGAAATGAATAATAAGTAATGTACGTTGTTTTCGAAAGAAACTTTACAACTTAAATGTGATTATATAAAAAAAATTCTGTACCGGTTTACGTAAAAATAATTTCTATATAGACAGTACGTCTATAACACGTGACCTTATTCGATAATTATTCATCAATTTATTATATCAATTTTGTAAAATTTGACCCAAAAAAATTCAAGAGTTAAAAAAAAAATTATATTACTATTGTTGCGGGCTAGAAATTACGCGGCGATAGAGATTTGATTCTACGTCTTAGCGTTGTACGTATAACTAGCACACACAGAGAACACAGGATTTTTTACGTGGAAAACCCTTAAAAGGGAAAAAACCACGAGGCCTCGCCCAGTTGAAAATGATTCCACTAGATTTTGAATTGGTTACAAAGGACTGGATCACCTCCAGGGGTGAATAGATTACAATGGCTTAAGTAAGATGTTGAGTCTTCGGCAGGACGTAGGGACTGAACGTCGGGTCCTGAGTTGGACGTCGGGTCTTTGGCAGGAAGTAGAGACTGAGTGTAGGGCCTTGAACAAGACGTCGGGTCTTTGGCAGGACGTAGGGACTGAACGTCGGGCCTTGAACAAGACGTCGGGTCTTTGGTAGGACGTAGGGACTGGACGTCAGGCCTTAAGGTGGTGGTCCGGCGAGGTTCTGCGGTGGTCCGGCGAGGTTCCTGCGGTGATCCGGCGGTGGTCCGGCGAGGTTTCTGCGGTGGTCCGGCGAGGTTCTGTGGTGGTCCGGCGGTGGTCCGGCGGCTGTCGAGGAGGA